AGCATTTCCTTTGCTCTTCGTCTGATGCCGGTCGGTTGCTGTGCTTGGGTTTCCGTGCTGCTTCGTAGTCTGCACCGTCGACGCGGCTCGATGTAGGGCCCAATTTCCTCCACGCTGACGTCGCCGATGCATCGCTGATGTATCGGCGATGCGGCGAGATCCTCCGCACCCATCTTCTCGGACCCCTTCTAGGAGGCCTCTACATTCTCGGGTTGGGTTGTGGGCGTCCCGCGCCCACGGCCGAATGGGCGATCGATTGCAGGGTGGGTTTACCCCAGAATTGGTTTTGTCCGTCAGACCTACGAGAAGTACGAATATTGTTCAGCAGATTCCACGTATCCTTCGCAGATTCGACGGGAAAACCAGTTCTGGGGATACAGTGGAGACCCATGCCAAGAAACATTCTGGTTGCCTCCAGGGTGCCCGTCCTGGGGTCTCAGGGCTGTGTTTTTTTCAAAGGCTTCTTGTGGTCGGGCCCCTACTGTAGCTTGACCTTCCAGGAGGGCTAAACAATAGCACGCGACTTCAAAACCTATCCCAGAGCCAATATATGTCTTGGTTTTAGGCCGTTTCGTTCCGTTTTTGAGGTCTTTAGGCTTCCCGTGGTAAAACAAAAATTCTCTGGAAGGTCGGGGTAGTCGATCCCCTCCTCGACCCGCGGATGCCGCACCGCGGCGTCGCTTGACGCCCGGCGGCGCGGAGGAGGAGGAGGAGGGAGGAGGAGGAGGAGGAGGAGGAGGAGGAGGAGGAGGAGGAGGAGGAGGAGGAGGAGGGGAGGGAGGAGGGAGGAGGGAGGAGGAGGAGGGAGGAGGGAGAAGGAGGTGGGAGGGAGGAGGGAGGGAGGGAGGAGGGAGGGAGGGGGGGAGGGCTGGGAGAGGAGGGAGGAGGGAGGCGGGAGGGAGGAGGGAGGGAGGAAGGAGGAGGGGGGAGGGAGGAGGGAGGAGGGAGGAGGTGGATGGAGGAGGAGGAGGGAGGAGGGTAGGAGGGAGTAGGGTGGAGGGAGGAGGGTAGGAGGGAGGAGGGGGGAGGAGGGAGGAGGGAGGAGGAGGTGGGTGGAGGAGGATGGAGGAGGAGGAGGAGGAGGGAGGAGGAGGAGGTAGGGAGGAGGAGGGAGAGGAGAGGAAGGGCGGAGGGGGACGGGAGGAGGGAGGAGGGAGGAGGGAGGGAGGGAGGAGGGAGGAGGAGGAGGAGGAGGAGGAGGAGGAGGAGGAGGAGGAGGAGAGGGGAGGAGGAGGAGGAGGGAGGAGAGAAGGTGGAGGGAGGAGGGAGTTGAGGGAGGGGGAGTGAGGGTAGGAGGGGAAGGTGGGAGGAGGGGAGGGAGGGAGGAGGGAGGCGAGGAGCGGAGAGGAGGAGGAGGAGTAGGAGGAGGAGGAGGAGGTGGAGGAGGAGGGAGGTGAGGAGGGAGGGGGAGAAGGGAGGGAGGGAGGAGGGTAGAGGGAGGGGTAGGCAGGGAGGAGGGAGGAGGGAGGCGGGTAGGGAGGGAGGAGGAGGAGGGGTGGAGGAGGAGGAGGAGGAGGAGGAGGAGGCTGAGGAGGTGCAGGAGGAGGGAGGAGGAGGGAGGAGGAGGGAGGTTTGGAGGGAAGGAGGGAGGTGGGAGGAGGAGGAGGAGGAGGAGGAGGAGGTGGAGGAGGAGGAGGAGGAGGAGGAGCAGCGGCCGCCGGGGGGGCGGGGGCGCCTCCGCGGCGCAAAAGGCGGCGCTGAAGGCGGCGCAGAGGCAGCGCCCATGCGGGCGGGGCGCGGAGGGGGACGGCAGGCCCATAGGACCCACCTCCTCCTCCTCCTCCTCCTCCTCCTCCCTCCAATCCTCCTTTTCCCCATTCCTCCTCCCCCACTTCATCTCCTCCTCCTCTCCTTCCCCTCCCTTCCTCCTCCTCCTTCCTCCTCCTCCTCCCCTTCCTCCTCTTTCTCCTCTTTCCTCCTCCTCCTCCTTGATCCTTGATCCTCCCTGGAGCGGCGGCAGGGCGAGGGGGGGTGAGAATCAAGGACAGAAAAAACGCCCCTACCCTGGTTTACGAGGCGCTTTGCGCTGGAACTCGTGGGCTGACGGGGTAAACCCTGCGTGATGAGAAGAAGGAGGCCTTCTCAGAAGGCGGTGGAACTTCTCAGAAGACCTGGCGCCTTCTGACAGGTTTTCGTTGTCGTCGTCTGGTAAGGCTCAGGAAGCTTCTCAGAAGGCCGGGGAACTTCGTACCCTTCTGGGAAGGCCTGCCCCTGCTCACTTCCCCACCGGCGCGCCGTCGATACACGACCATCCTTCGGGTGATAAGGATGCTGGTGCGGGGGAGGGCGGAGTTCAGCTTTCGGTGTGCGATTGGGGTAGGATCGGACCTGGCGGAAGCAAGTTGGGCACCACGGAGCACCACCGATGGTGGGATCCCGATGGCACCTTTGGCAACCATCGCGAATCATCGTGGCAACGAGCGGAAACGGGCTGCATGTGTTTACCTGCGTTTTCTTTCTTTCAGAGCGCGCTACGAACATACAGGGCAATTGGCTTGTCCATCTATAGATCTATCGGGGCATCCAACGGGAGTCATCGGGGCAGCCATCGGAACTAGGTACCCGTTCTCGTGCAGAGACAGGACGTACCACGAACGCACAGAGCAATTCCTTTGCCAACTTCTCTTTCACGGGACATCAATCAAAACGCATCGGGGCAACCATCTGGAACAGCTGACATATATTTGCCCGTGCGGTCCTTCCTTCAGAAGAACATGCCAAGAACATACAATACCACGGGACACCGCGAGACACCACGGGACACTATTATCGATCTCATTGTCGATCGTGCGATCGATTGATCCTTCTGTCGATCGCACGATCGATCTCTCTATCGACCTTTCTCTGTCTGCATCCCATTTGACGCCACTATCGATCTCACCATCGGCCTCGCACTCGAACTCACGACGAGGCACCAAGGCATTCTGTGTCGGTGCTGTCTTCCTGTTTCAGGCAAATCTAGCAAAACAGCAGACAAGACAACGCGACATCATAATACCATAGAGCACCACGTGACACACCACTATCGGTTTCATTGTCGATCCCATGAACTGCGGATATCTCCTTCCAGCCTCTGATCCATCGACATCATTATCGGATTCACGGCTGATCCCGCTATATATTTGTCAGTCTCTCGATCAATCGATCTCATTATCGATCGGAGGTTGGGGGGTGAGATCGCAGTGAAACGGAGACCCCCCACCGGGAAATCGGTTTCGGCTTCGTGTTCGTGTCGTGCGTGCGGGCGAGGCGAAGTTGCGCGTGATCCTCTTGTAGCTAGGCCGAAGTAGGAGCGAAAGTCCGTTCCAGTCCGCCGGTGGCTGGGAGGTGTCCCAGTTGGGCCGGGCGGTGTCCCGGGCGTCCCGGCGCTAACGCATGTCGCTAATTTCGTTATTCATTTGTTTCGGCGCCTTCGGCGGGCTTTCTTATCCAATCCAGCTTCTCTTGTCCAATCCAGCTTCTCCAATCCAATCCATCTTATCTCATCCAACCCATCTTGTCCTATCTGGTCTTATCCCACCCAATCAAATCCACCCAACCCAATCCATCAATTCATTTGTTTCTGCGCCTGCGGCGGGCCGATCCAACCCATCTTATCTTATCCAATACATTTCATCCAATCCAACCCATCTTATTTTATCCAATCCATCTTATCCCCTCCAATCCAATCCACCCAACCCAATCCATCAATTCATTTTTGTCGATCTTATCCAATCCATCTTGTCTAAGGTGACAAGCTGGAGGTCAGTCAGGGTGGGCATTTGATCTCAATGCCCCCCCCAACCTCCTTTTCGCCCGCAGGGCGGTCGTATAGGTAGGTATCACGATCGTTCTCGCAATCAGCCTCACGGGGCACCACTGGACACCACGGGACACTGCGACGGGACACCACGTGACACCACGGGCACCGCGTCATCAGACACCACGGGACACTGGCGGGGCACCCCCGAGCCACCGCCGGCCAGCCCGTGGAGGGAAATCATTGAGCCGGGTTTCGCCCTAATTAACAGCGGAGGGTTCATGCGTCTCGTGCGCCCACGCAGCTTCGCCTTGCCTCACCCGCACGCGCGACACGAGCACGACACCGAAACCGATTTCCCGGTGGTTGGCTCGCCGTTTCACTGCGATCTCACCCCCCAATCTCCGATTTCATTCCTTTGAATTTAAAAGGCCGGCCGCAGGGCTTCTCGGGGAGGTCCTGGGGGGTCACCAAACGAACTTGGATCCACTTCCCGTTGCTTGTTCAACGCTCGCGTTATGTCGAATGCGTTTTTCCACAAGTCCACTCGTATTTCCTCGTGGCTCCCATCTGTATGCGTCCACAGACGCAGAAGGTGGGTTAATTCAATCTTCACGGTTCTCTCTCCTCCCCTTTTTTCTCCCTACGCTTCATATATCAAACAGCCCCCCCCGTCTTTCACAATACCCCTCGTCCTCGTACCACCCCCTTTCCCCTCTCCTTCCTGCCCGCCCTGCCATTTGGGTCGACGCCGCCTTGGCGCGAGGACGACGAGCATGTTTGTGAGATCAGGATGTTGCTACCGTGCCAGTTACAAGCACGCGCGTATGCCAACGCACAAACCTCATTTAAATAAAGATCACTATGCTTTCGTCTGAATTCGCTAGGTTCGACTGCCAATCCGCGACTACTGAACGCCTGCCGATACAGAGCCCATGGCGCCACGTGTCGGGAGCAAGTCTACATTCCCTCAGGGAACTACGGGAAACCACATGGGGCAAGCCGCGACGCTCGAGAAACCACACGGGAAACCACATGGGAACTATGAGAAACCACATGGGAAACCACATGGGGCAAGCGAGGATGGCGAGATCAGGCGCCGCAAGCCTCGAGGGGATCCGAACCGCACGCTGCGCAAGCTAACAAGGCAGAGTTCCACTTGCCGTTGACGCAGCACTCGTCGCATTGCCGTGTTCGCTTGCTGCGTCCATGCTGTGCAGGGCGGTGGGCTCCCTCCCCGTCCCCAGGCTCGGGCGTCGCCATGGCCGCGGGCAAGGTGCCGCCTGGCACGGCGACGGTCAGCGTGTTGGCGAAGACGCTTCAGGCTGCCGCGGCGGGGATCCTTACTGGGAGGGTCTGCGGCCACGCGGGAGGTTGGGATTAAGGAGGGGGGGAGGAGGAAGGGAGGGGGAGGAATGCTAAGAGGAGGGGCTGGAGGCGGAGGAGGAGCCAGCGGGAATGATGCTGGGGTCGCTTGTTTGGGGCATCAGCCTTTGGTTTGCGATCGCCCTGACCCTATCTTTTCTCCACCCTCCTCTTCACCCCCATTGTCAGCGGGCGAAGAACGGTAGAGCATGAACGTGTCCGCCGTCGGCGACGCCTTCCCGCTTTGCGGCTGCAAAGTTTATACTTCTACGGTGCCACGCAGGGCTATACATTTTCCAACCGCCAGGGGGGCAGGCGTCCCCGACGGCGGAAAAGTTTATGTTCTACCGCTCCTCGCCCGCTGACATTCCTCAAGCTCCTCCTCCTCCTCATCATCATCATCATCATCATCATCATCATCCCATTATTCCTCCTCCTCCTCCTTCTCCTCCGTGCGAGGTGACGGCTCGGGCACGGGGCGCGTTTCCTTTGCCGCGCTGTCTGGTCCGCGTGGTGGCCCACGCACGCGGGGTTCACGCCATGTCCTCCGAGTCGGTTCGATGCGCGTTCGACGGATTCAGATTCCGATTCGATTCGACATCGAACTCCGATGTTTGATCCGATGTCCCAAAAGTGGAGGCCTACCAGCATGCCCATGTCTATCGATTCGACATGTCCCGACCCGGCTGCCGATTTCCGCCGATCCGATTCAGTTCGATCGCCGATTCGATTTATCGATTCGATTCTGGGCTCTCTTGCCTACCCCCATGGAGGGAACGACCGTAGCAGCTGGTGCAGCTCGTGCAGCCGCAGGTCTGGCGCACAGGGGCGCGAGAACGACCCAGGATTCGATTCAGGGATCGACTGCAGAATTGATGCACCCCAGCATTGGTTGGCTCGTCGAATCCTGGAGACATCCGTGAAACGTTCGGGAACCTGCGACCATTCTAGTTGTGACTCGACGAGAGAAGTCAAGTCTGGACTATGATCAGGAGGGCAAAAACACAGACAATTAATCGTCGATCCCCAGGAAATATGGGAAAATATGGGAAGTGGTGGGGAAGACAAACACCCAGAACATATGGGAAAATATGGGGAACATTCGTATTTGTGTGTATTTATTTGTGTGTCCTGGGGCCCCTTCATATGAAGCAATTGCGTAGTCAATCCCCTGCTCGAAGGATGCCCGCCGCGCGCGGTGGCTACGACTGCACGTGCTCCGTGAAGCCGGCGCCCGCGGCTGCGGGCGGGCTCTCGGGCGGCAGGTGCGCTCGAGCGCGCGGTGGGTGGAGGAGGAGGAGGAGGAGGAGGAGGAGGAGGAGGAGGAGGAGGAGGAGGAGGAGGTGGAGGAGGAGGAGGAGGAGGAGGAGGAGGAGGAGGGGGAGGAGGAGGAGGAGGAGGGGCAGGAGGAAGAGGAGGAGGAGCAGGAGGAGGCAAAGGGGGGGCGCGGGCCCGCGCGATGGGAGCACGCCGAGCGTGCTCCGCGGAGAGCTCCCAAGAGTCGCAGGCCCTGCTCGAGGGCATCCAGCGGACCGCTCATGGCAGAAAATTGCAGCGACCGTCGGAGGAGGAGACGGTATCCCTACCGATGCCCTACTCTCGTTCTCGCCTTGTTTTGAGCCTCCTGGGAGGCCGTCGTCGCCACCGCCGGATTCCTCTCGAGATGATGGTCAGACTGCACCCCACGAGAGGTGCGGGGAGCAGCGGTATGGGTAGCTTATGGTGCCTCCCAGAACGGACGGAGGCTGCAACGGGGCAAAGACATCTGTCGCTCAAGCTCGGACAGAGGCAGGGGGGGGGCAGTAGTCAGGAGGGGAACAAACACACGGACACAATGAATCGTCGATCCCCAGGAAAATATGCGAAAATATGGACACGGGGGGGGGAAGACGAAATCCCAGAAAATATGGGCAAATAGGGGTGAATTATGGGATTTGTGTGTATTTAGTTGTGTGTCCCTGGGCCCCTTCAAGTAGTACAATCTCAGAAGTCGGATCTGCCGCTGAATCTGCAGAGCGAGCGGTCGGAGGGGTCCTGATTCAGGCTCCTGCAGTTTCTGCCAGAACTGTCTGCAGGAAGATATGGCAATCGGATTGGTAGCATGAGCAGTGGGGTCTTGCATAGGGGAACAAAAAGTCCGAGCGGATTTCTCGCATCGGCGCTGGGGCCCCCCGGCGGCGCCTCCGGCGCCGCCCCTGGCGCTCCGCGCGCCAGGGAGGGGGGTCCAGCGCCGATGCGAGAAATCCGCGCGGACCTCAGAGTTTTTATGTTTCTGCCGCTTTTTGTTCCCCCACTGCAGGAGTCGCGCGCGATTGTGCCGCATCGGTCTGCTGTTGTGCCGTGTCGTGCGGGTCTTGCCACCGAGGGGCTGTTTTTCACGAGGGGAAAAACACACAGACACATGTAATCGCCGATTCACAGGAAAAGATTGGAAAGTATTTGAAGTGGGGGCGAAGACAAAAACCAAGAAAATATGGGAAAAGATGGGGGATCATGTTATTTGTGTGTGTGTGTATTTATTTGTGTGTCCCAGGGGCCCGTCAGTTTGTTTTGGGGGGCGGCGTGCTTTGCGGGTCGGCCCCTGGAGGCCCGGGAGCGGAGGCGGGGAAGAGGCGCGCCCGGGGCGGCGTCCGTCGTGGTCGGCGTGGTCTTTCTGTCGTCGCCGTCGCTGTCTTTTGTTGCCCCCCTGGGGAGGTGAGGGGAAATAGGGGAAGCGGGAGGGAGACGAATATTCAAAACAAAAGAAAAAAACGGAAAAAAACAAACGAAAAACGGAAAACAAAAACGAAACAACAAAAACGCAAAAAAACAACGAAAACAACAAAAAAAAAAAAAAACGAAACAAAAACGAAAAAGAACGAAAACAAACGAAAAACGAAAAAAACAGAAAAAAAACAAAAACAAAAAAAAAAGAAAAAGAAAAAACAAAAAAAAAAAACGAAAAAAAGACTAACATCCAGGGGGCATGACAGGTAAGAAGACTCCTCGGATGTGCGCGTTTCTCTCTCTCTCTCTCTCTGTGTCTGGGCCCCTTCGCCTGCTTCCCACTCGGGCCCTCCCCCGCCCCCCTCCCCTCGGGAGGAGCATCAAGTATCTCGGATATCCCGCCGTTGGGAACCCGTCTGCGTGTTACTCGTGCGTTGTTGTCCGAAGGCATGGTGACCCTTCAGCACTCATGCGCTGATGGTTTCCCCATGGCGGCGTGTCAATGGTATTGTCGTTGCTCCCCCATCTCACCGCCCACCAAACCACCCCAATCCAACCCGAAGGCCACGATTTGCCCTCTATTTCTAGTGGGGGGGGGTCGGGGAACATCGAACAAACACATGGAACCCGTACCCCCCCAACCCGAAATTCGGTTCAAATTCGGGTCTTCGGGTTGGGTTGGGGTGGTCTGGTAGGTAGTCGCCATCCCCCTCCTCCTTTGCCGGCCAGACAGGCGGACAGCATGGCACCCAACAGGGTGCAGAACGCCAAGGAGCTGCGCAGGACCGTCACGCTGAGGGCGCCGCCGCCGGCAACTGCGGCGTTTCTCGGGGGCCGCAGTCCCAGAGCCAGCACTTCTGCAGGCCCCGCACGTTTTGACCCCGGGGTGACATTGTCTACCGAGCCTCACGCAAGTGGGCAGGTGCGCGAGAAGGCATGGCCTGCTGCTCCCGTTCCAGTCCCACGGTGAGGAAGAGGAGCGGCGGCAGGACCACGAGCCGAGTTCGGAGGTAGACGCTGGAGGGACTGCATGGGAGAAATAACACCAGCAGCCGTTACAGGTATGTTTGACAGTGCAGGGGGGGCAGTGCGTCCGATTGTGGGTCACAATTTCCCTTGGGCCGCATCGGGTCTGACCCGCACAATCATACCTCCAGGCACCATCTTATTATGGTGCGTGCGCTCGGGCCGGGTGCTTGGAATATTGAGTTTTTCCAAGTGTTCCTCGATTGTTCGTGAATGTACCCATCTGCAGAAATTTTGTGAAGGCCTTACGGCCAGTGCCGCCGACCCTGAGGAGAGACGACGACGACGACGACGACGACGACGACGACGACGACGACGACGACGGCGACGACGACGACGACGACGGCGACGGCGGCGGCGCGTCGACGACGACGACGGCGACGACGACGACGAAGACGACGCCGCCGACGACGATGACGACGACGCTGACGCTTTGGAGCCGAAAGCGTCTCCCAGGGATGGGTGCTCCACCACAAGGGGGGGGGGGTACAACTTCCAGGACACCCCCTGCCACCCCCCTCCCACCCCTCACCCGGAACCCTTCTCAGGACCCCACCCCCCACCAAGACACTGTTTGGGACCTCCCCGAGACCCCCCCCCTCCTTCCCCTCCCCTCCTGGGACCACCCCTGGAACTTCCTCCAGGACCACCCCCCGGGACCGCCTCCCGGGACCTCCCCTTGGATTGTGCCCCAGGAAGCCCCAAGAGACCCCCGAGGGGCTCCCAGGGAACGCCCAAGACGCCCCCCAACACACCCCAAGAAATCGTGTCTCCAGAATTCCTTCCAGGGACATGGTTCATCTTGGGCCCGAGAGTTCCAGGAGGCCCCCAAGGAGCGCCCAGGGAACGCCCAAGAGACCCCCCAACACACCCCAACAAACCATGTCCCCAGAAAGCCTTCCGGGGACATGGTTCATCATGGGCCGCGAGTCTCTGGAGGCTTCGAAGTACCATCATGCTACAGGAGAGCTGTCTGGGAAGTTGATTGGGAACATGACTGATCGCCTTCTCGCGGCCCTCCGCAGATCGTTTCGCACAAAGTTGCCCCAAGTGCCCTCTTGAACCGACGACGACGACGAAACAACGAAGACGACGACGACGACGACGACGACGACGACGACGACGACGACGGTGCGCCTCAATAGGCGACGACGACATTACAACGACGACGACGACGACGACGACGACGACGACGACGACGACGACGGCACGCCCCAACATGCTCCCCAAGACGCCCCCAAACCCATGCTCCAAGAAGGCCTTCTGGGAACCCGATTCATACGGCCTCCGCCCCCTCTACACAACCATTTTTCTCGAAGGCCTTTCGGAATGCAGATTGGCATTCGTGTATTGTGGTCGACTACTTCAGTGGAGCAGTGAATTCGTCAAGTCCTGGGGCCTGCTAGAACCTGAGCGCGCGCGAAGCGCGCGCGATGGTTCTAGTATATATATATATATATACACCTATGAGGGAGAAAGATAACGGAAACAAACAACAACAAACAACAACACAACTGAGAAAGAGAGAAAGAGAGAGAGACAGAGAAGGAGAGAGAGAGAGAGAGAGAGAGAACAAACACACAGCAACTTACACCCCGCGACCAGGCCCTTGGGACCCGAGGCGGCCCATTTTTGCAGAACTCCCCCCCCCCCTGGGGTACACACCGTGTCCCTCGGGGTCCAGGGCTCGTTTCGGGCCTTCGGTGGGCTTTCGAGGGGCCGAAGGCGCTCCCCAAACAGTCTACAAGGCCTCTGAGTGTCCAAGAGCGCGCCAAGACGCCTAAAATGGCTTTAAGACGACCCGAGAGCCCCCCCAACCCACCAAGAGGGCTCCAAGGTTGGGTCGGCACGTACTGTGCGCTCGCTAGGGTTGGCCGGGTTGGGCTGCGCGGGCGTGGCCAATGCGGCGGGGCCGAGGAGGAGGACAAGGAGAGCGGGATGGGGAGGATGGGGAGGAGCAAGAGGAGGAGGAGGAGGAGGAGGAGGAGGAGGAGGAGGAGGGGGAGGAGGAGGAGGGGGAGGCGTGGGCGTGGGTCGGTAGGGTGTGTGTGTGTAGGTTTCGGGTCAGAAACTGTCGCGCGGGGGGTCTGAAGAATTGGGCATTTGTGGGGTTGGGGTGCTGGGGCGCAGTGGGGGGCGCTGTGGGAAATGTGGGTAGGTGTCGGACCAGAATTTGTCGCGTTGGAAGTCGCCAGAAATGAGCTCTCGTGGGGTGGGGGTGCCGGGGCGCGGCGGGGGTCGGTGTGGGGTGTGTGGGGGTAGGCTTCGGGCCATAATCATGGCTGCGGAACGTGCATGTACGGATGATATGCGATGCCCCTCGCAGGGGGTGCGGATGATACGAAACGCCCCTCATTCAGGGGATCCAAGAACGATGCGCCCACGAAGAAAAGAGTACTCCGCTCAAAGATCCTGGGTTGAACTACAGTGCGATCCATCAAATATGTGAGATGGAACTATAGTGATGATCCGAACTATAGATCGATCTTAGAGTCTGAAAGGAAACGGGGCGGGGAGCCAGGGCCAGGGCCGGGGCCGAGGCTGGGACTGGGGCCGGGGCCGGGGCCAGGGCCGGGCCGGGGCCGGCTAAGACCGGTGCCATGGGCGGGGCCGAGGCCAGGAGTGGGTCCTGGGCCGGGGCCGGCGGGGCGGGAGTCGTGGCCGGCTGGGACTGGGGCCAGGGCGGGGGGCTGTGGGGGCCTTAGTAAAGAAACAAACACATTACCTGGGGACCCCCCCCGGGACCACCTCCCGGGACCATCCCCCGGGGACCCCCCCCCCCGGGCCCCCGTCCCGGTTAATTCTCCCCCCGCCCCGGGAATGGATCCAAGGGAAAGGCTTCGACCTCACTTCCACGTGAACGATCTGAGGTGTTCATATATAAGAAGTTGTGGGGAAATTGTTGTAGATCATGTTAACTTGATCTTCCAGATCTTAACTCGATCTTCCAGATCTTAACTTGGTCTGCCAGATCGTACATAACTTGAACGGTGCAAGTTGTGGAAGATACGGAAATGATTTTTTTGTTCTGTAGCGATTTTAACAGCGTGTGAGTTACGGGGAAGTTAGGTTTTGGAGTGGTTCTGGTTGTGGAAATTGCGTTCTAGTTTTTTGGTTCATCATCACTTCATCATAAGCCAAAAAAACAAAGATGCGTTGCGAGCACCGGTTTTCTACAATTTCCTATTTCTCTAACCAGAAACATGCGTATGTCTGCCCCCTAGCGTTGTATTGATGTTTTGTTTCTCGAGCGCTTTGCGATGCATTCAATCATGCGCTTCGCGCCCCCTTCGTCTCCTCCTCCTTTTCCTCCTCCTCCTTCGCCTTCTCCTCATTCCAACGTATCCCCCGAGGGGGAGGCCTGGCACCTGTTTTCACGGTGTCAGTGCCGAGCACCCTCGGGGCACACTGTACACGGCACTTATTTCGAAGGTTGGGCGGGGTGCAACCAGCCGTTTTTTTCTGGAACCGCGGGCACTGGGTTCTTGGGGTGGACGTTGCGAAACCTGTATCGACGGGTCTCCCGTCGTTGGGTGTAGCACTGCCCCAGTCTCAGCCTGGTCCTGCTGGTGAAGGCGGGTAGCGGCGCCTGTGCGGTCATTTCAATGTGATCTGACCCTCAGGGATCGTCATTTCCTCGGGAGGCGGTGGCTTGTGCCACGCAAGTCCCAAGGGGCCTTGTGCCCACCCAGGGCTCGGGAGCTTGTGCTCCTCAGTATGCCGGGCCAGCTGTTCCGACTGGGATGCATGTGGTTCCCAACGCGCCATGTCGGAACGGCTGGGCCGCGAGTCTTCACAGGCGACGTGGTCGCCCCCTGTGCATGTCCTGCGCAGCTGCTGCTGCTTTCCAGGCGGTAGTTCGTTGGCTGGGAGTCGTCAGTGCACGCGCGGCCTTCGGGAAACCGACCTTGGGCGCCGGACTCTTCATTCCAACGTACCAAGCTCCTCCTCCATCCTGCTTCTCCCCCCCCCCCCCGGGAGCCTGGAACGTGAAGGCCTGCATGACCTCCAGGACGACGAGGGGGGGGG